TACCCTTTTAGATGGTCATATGTATTACTTCTGTTGGGGTAGTGATGGGTTGGGCATGACCTTGTGACTAAACAGCAAATTACTTCTGCTGTGAATCACAGGGTTATCATTTTCTCTTCTCTGCTTTACAACTGCTTCTATGTTCTTGATTTGTGGCACACAAAGAAAAACGTTTGCCAAGCCTCCTGAAGTAAGACAAGGGAAATACTTTGTGCATGCCCAGAATTCACATTTTGAGTTGACTTAAGTCATGGCACCATCCCAGCTACAGGAAAGTGCTGACCTGTTTGGACTGCCCCCGCACCTGCCTCTCTTTAAGAGCTCCTTCAGGGCCTGCCCTCCCGAGCCTGAGGAGACCTGAAGTTTGGCCCCAATGGCCGGCCCTCCTTGCACCACAGACCCTGCCCAGCCGCAACTCCTCCTCCCTCCGTGTCCCTATTTACGCTCTCCCCTCCTTCCTTCTCCAAAGCCATTCTTGCAAAAAAATCTAAGCAGGAGAGAAGACCACGCCTCACTTTTCAAAAAGGCAGGGGAAGGTCGGCTTATGACGCATCCAGCTTTTCCCCGCCTACACTCAAGGCCACCGTTAGAATCCCGACTACAAAGTAGGGCTCAGGCCGCGCCCCCATTCCAAAGCGGGGGCGGGGGCGGGGGCAGGGGCAGTAGGAACGCGGCTTGCGCCTATAGAAGCGGCTGGCTGGCCTCTGGTTTGTGCAGTGAGTGGGATAGGCGGTTTAAAGTTGTGTGGCACGTTTCGTGTCACAGCACGTGTTGGCTTGAGGCTCAGCAGGTCGGAACGCGGCCTAGGAGAGCATGGCACGCGTCTGTCCTCACTGCGGCGCGCAGGTCTTGGGGTGGGAGTAATTGGGTGAGCATGACCTCGGTTGCCATTCAAGGTGCGTTTTGTAAACAGCCACCGAGAAAAAATAACGCGCTGATGGGAAGGCGGTGCAGCACTTTCAAACATAATCGATGCTATTTAATTCATTGTTAGTTTTTAAATCTGCATGCCATGATTGATTTCCCCACACGCAGACTTTTTAGGGAAATGCATGTTTTGTCTGCGGTAACGGAGGCTCTGACACTGATGAAAAAACATACAGTGGGGAGAGAATAATTAAATTAACCCTTCCTGGTGCGTGTACTAGTTGCCGCCGCCACGCGGATCCAGTGTTCCTTCCCAGCTCTTTTCCTTGGGCAAGGGACAGAAATGGAGATGCTGCGGGAGTAAACGCCTCTTGCGGGAGAATTCGATCACGAAAGCAGCTTAGCGTCCTCTTCCCCCGGTGCAACTGCTGATAACTTCGCAGTTCCCCACGCGCACATTTCCTTTAAACCTGACAAGCGGCTGCAACACTTGAACCTTTAAAGAAAAGAGTGGCCAAACTGTAGGTAAATAAAAAGGTTCCTACGTACAGGTCGATGCTTTAGGCTGCACCCGACAGAGGGGAATATGCGAATGGGGCGGCATAGAAGTTCCCTGAATGAATGAATACGACAACAACAACACTAAACGACGTTGTGGAATTGCTTTAATTACCCTCCTTCAAGCTAATGCCTCCTAGATGTTTTGGGCTACAACTCCCAGAATCTGTGACCATTAGCCATGCTGGCTGGGTGGACTGGATATCAGATTGGGGAACAGCGCTGAAATTTAAGCCACTCATTCCCACCTCCAGCCTGTGATATGGTGTTCTGTATGAAAGGTTTGCCATGGGCTGTTATTTCTTTGCTTTTTACAGCTTTCAGTCTGCAGTATGAGACTACATTAGTGGACTTAATTACAGTTACAGAGTTGTAAGTTACTGACTTTCAGCCCCACCTTACACTATGAAGATTTTAAAAATGCATCTGCAGAGCTATTTTTTAAAATTGTGTAGAGCCTTTGTAAACTCACAAAATAACACCTGTGGTTCAACAATGATTTTTAAAGCTATTTATTTCTACCTTGATGAACTTCTGCCGAATCAGAGCTATATTGAATCTTCCTTTGTTTCATATAGGCAGCTATCCCTTTTACCCTGCCCATGTGTGTTTTGAGACAGGGTTTGTTCTTGTGTGCAGCTGAACACATTTGTACAGCTGGAAAAAATGAAGTGGAAACGGAGTGTGTGTGTGTAGTACAGAACAGACTTTGATAAAGAACCAGGTTGATACTTAAAAGAAATAGAAAAATAAGATTGAGAAATAGAACCTTACAAAGATAAAAGTTTCCTTTCAACCTTCATAACCTGAATCATATGTTATTGGAGCCAACCACTTGACTAGTCAAACGTATTTATTAATGCATGCACATTTCTACAGTATATGTAGGTATACAACAGTGACACATAGCAGTACAAAATGCAAAGACAACATAATTGAAAGAACTATCCTGAATCTCAAAATAGTGTCAGTTCAGTAGTTAACATAAATGTTCAACCTCTAGAACATTATGTAGGTTTAGCCTTGAATAACCAAAGTAGAACATACAAATAAAATAAGAGAACAAAAAGATTGCAGACTGTATTGTTCCCCTGGCCCCAGTATACAGCAAAACTCCTATGGATGATGCTTCACCAGCAGGATCCATTGGGATGAAGCAGCTGTTCCTCTCCAGGTGGCTCTGGGCTTGCTTACTTTCTCACTTGTTTTGCTGTCTAGCCATTTTACTTGGGCAAGGTGGATCTCTCCCTCTCTGACACTATGTGAGACTGTCTTCAAGGTCACTCTGACCACCCCAGTGGCTTAACTGGTGGAAGAAGGCAAATAAAATCTTTAGAAGGTTGCTTATATCCCCACTTCCATGCAAATCTGCTTCATTTCTCCAGTTGGAGTTCCATCTCTATTAACCTGTCACCCTGATCCAACAAGAAACTGAATGTTACACTAAGCATATTAAGATTCGTACAAAGAAAACATAAACCAATAACATTAATCTTGGTCTATTTCTAATTCTTGAAATTTCTAACTAAATTTCTCCTAATTTCTCAACTTGAAAATGTCTGGAAACTCCAGTTGGTACAAAATAAGGCAGTCCTATAACCTAAGGGGCAGCATCACTTCCATTAGTCTTATGATTTAAAACAGTCAAATTCTTTTTTCTGCAAGTCCTATTTTATGTAAAACCAGGGCATATTATTAAGTTATCCATAAAATATGTATATATGTGCAGGTATCTATATAGATCTCTAAATATTTATCGATTTACATCCTGCCTTTTTCCTACAAAGGGCTCAAGGCAGCTTACATCATTCTCCTCCTCCATCTTATCCCCACAACAACAACCCTGTGAGGCAGGTTGGGCTGAGAGTCTGTGACTGGCCCAAAGTCACCCAGCTGGCTCCATGGCTGAGCGGGAACTAGAACCCAGATCGTCTAAGTCCCAGTCCCATGCTCTTAACCACTACACCACACTGGCTCTCAAATATTATTACATACTTTGTGTAATTCTATGAAGTTAGTATTGGATGCCCCACTAAAATAGCTGCATTATACATTGTGGGACAATTGTTTTAATTTGTAGATTAGCTATTTAATTGAAATCAATGATGTAGGGCATTTCCACACTGGGGTTGGATCCTAAGTTCCCATGGATGGAAATGGGGGAGGCCATTTTCAGGTATTCCACCTCCAAATCTCTAGAACTCTGGAGGATTGAGGGCCCACTGGAACAACATAAGTGGCTTTGAGGAAACTGGCAAAAATCTCTGCTTGTCTCTTGCCTCTTCACCCTTGGATGGGAGAAAGAGGTTAGGAACCAAGCCTAGGTATTTACGCTGGAATTCCCATTTTTCTTTAACTCAGCTTTACATGATGTCAGAATCAGGTCATTGTTCTATGCTTTCCCAAAGCTTTTCTTCATTCACTTTAAACTTAAAAGATCCAGCTTTTTGGAAGGGATAGAACAGTCGCTCAGTCTCCATGGATACATGTCACGGTGACACTGCTCTGACATGTCAGGTTTAGATGTGTTCAGTGATATTTCAGGCAGTCAAGCCTTCTTCACTTTGGAACAACTTCACTACCTTCTCGTTGCTGTCATTTTTAGGAGTGTATTTTTTGGGACAATGACAATGTTTAAAAATTTGCACCTACATGAAAGAAAAAATATTTGCACAAATGTAAAATTAATTTAGGGAAAAAACCCAGATATTCCTAAGGGAGCGTGTTTTGGTATGCGTGGTAGTTCTTCTGTCGTCATGGCCATGTTATGCCATAACAGTTTATGTGAATGAACAGAGCAGAATGTCCATACAGATGCAGCCAAACACAGTAGAGCTTCCAAAGCACAGAAGCTGCATCACAGTTACATGCAAGGGGAATGACTGGGTATAGTGCTAAGAGCCTGCAGGCTGAAATATCCAGAATCTTAATTTTTAAAATTCTATTTTTATTTAAATTGCAGAACAAATGGGAGTCCTAATCTCAGTCATCAACGGATAACATTGAAATAATACTGCAATCACATCAGTCAATTCAAGAAACCGATGTGGTAGATGATAACACACTTTTGTCATTCTGTTCAACAGCTGTAAGGAAACTACTAAAAAGCACGGGGGCCTGACTCATGTTACAAGAAATTCTTGTCCCCTCATTTCCACAACATGGCAATGTTGCATTTTCCTGAAATGACTGAAGGGACAGATACACATTCAAACACTTAAGAGTCTGGTCCTACTGTGAAAAGAGGGATTTATCTTATTTGAAATGTTCATTATGGTATAAACTCCTACGGGCAAGATATATGAAATGGGAGAAGTATGATGGAGTTGACTTGGTTCACAAGTAATACCAGTTCTTGGGTTAAATAAGTCATGGGACCAGAGTGAAGTAAGCACGTGTATTGCTTCTTGCTCACATAGCACTTCTACTTTTCATCTATTTTGCTAAATAACTGCTACTCATGCACCAAGTCGGATACCCTGGATTGCTGAGGCTTGAGTTGTTTGCAAAGCTGCAAAGGGTGAGAAGCAGCACACTTGCTCATTCTCAGTCCTGATAACTCATGAGTTGCTACGTACAAACGGGGCCAGTATCTCATTTTGTGGCATGATTAATGTTACTTGGTGAAGGGGATTATAATACTGATGTACACAGAGTAACTCTACTGCATCAGTTACACATTTCACTTGTCTGCTTAGAATGAGCAGCATCCGAACTCCCTTTTGAATAATTGGTGCCTCTAGATTTCTTGGATCTCCCACAGCAGAGACTGATCATTATTTTCACAAAATAATTTCTGAATTTTACCCCAATAAAAGCATAGAGTACAGGATTCATACAACAGTGTAAGAAGGCCAGAGTTTCGGTTATATATTTCACATAGGCCATTTGTTTTTCACTCCAACAAGATTTATCCAGTTTCCCCATTGACACAGCTCTCATAAGAAGGACAATGTTATAAGGGACTTGGAATATCAAGAAAACTATCACAATTGAGACAATCACACGTATGGCTTGGCTTCTTTTCGTATTCTGAGCCTGCACTAAGGTTTTGACAATGAAAGTATAACAAAAAAACATGAATAGCAGAGGGATGAAAAATCCAAATAAAAGCTGCAGAGCTAATATCATCCGCTTCAACATGTTATCAGACTCTGTATTGGATTTATATTCACAAATGTACTTTGTGTTATTGGTAGAAAGGGGGTAGCTTTGGCTGAACATGAAAGTAGAGCTTGAGATTACAATTGATAATACCCACACAGCCAAGCAGATGATCTTACTGTATGCCAGAGTCCTTATCCGAAACTTAAATGACTTTGTTGCTTGCACAATGGCAATGTATCGGTCCATGCTTATACAGGCCAAGAGCAACATGCCACAGTTGAAGTTAATTGCATAAATACCTTTGATGAGCTTGCACATGAAGTCACCAAAGATCCACTGGTCCAGAGCATAGTTTACTGCCCAGAAAGGAAGAGTGAGAACAAACAGGATGTCTACAATAGCCATATTGCAGAGGCATATGTCAGTCAGAGAATCGGACTTCCTATAGAAGGCAAATGTCATCACAACAAATGAATTGCCCACAAGGCCCAAGACACATATCAGTGAATAGGCAATAGGTAGAAAAGTTTTTGTAAAGTTTCTGACTTCATTCTTGTAGCATGGTGGTGTCATGTGAAAATAAAAATCGGATATGTAGAAATAATCCGTGGTGGTATGTTCTTCCTGAAAAGACAATGGAAACGGTTAAAAGTCACTTTTCAACCTAGTTTGTGTCAAAGATGACAGTTTTTAAGAAAAGGTTTGTCTTCATTTCTTTTGGAAACTTAAATATGTAAGATTGTCCCCAGTGCTGCATGACTGGAAGTCTGCTCATGCAAGTGGATTTCCCTTGATCCTCTCAGCATTCCCCCTTGTCCTCAGGAAAGGCCTAGGACATGACATGCAGATTGGGTAGAGGCTGCCATGGGAAAGAACCACCACCAAAAATCAGGTGGAGACGGTGAAAGTTTTTTATGATTTAAACAGCATCTCACCAAGGGTAGATCATACCTCTGCCTCTCTTAAACAAGCCTTTGAGTTTCCTGTCTAAGGCTAACCACTGACTCATTTACTATCTAGTCTACAGAAAAACCTTGTTTGGCAGCTCATGGTTCAGAATGTTGTTTGTTCTTCTTTTAACATTGTTTAAGTTCTAACTGGATCCAGGAAATCTCAGAAAATCTATTCAAGGAAAAAAGTATTTTCCTAAATGTCCCTAAGCACAATTTTACAATTTGAACCTGATGGTGAGGGACTGGAATCCAGCTTAAATTTTCCAGATATCAGGGCTGCACAAAATGTTTTTTCTTTGCTCCCCACTGCCATGTTTGCAACTCCTCTCCCATCCTTTTGGTTTTGTAAGAGGCACAGTTACGTACTGTTGCATCTGTGCCAACATTTTTCCCTGATAGTTGATGCCAAATCTCAGTTGGAAGTTACGGCTAGAATTGGCCATCTGGCTGGTTACTGCTGAAGTGGATGAATTTTGACCAGATAAGGCATAGCTATTTGCGTGTTTTTATGCTTGCTTACTTTAAATATGTGACAGGTTGTAGGGAACTTACAATTTAACAAGAAAATGTCATATGTCATACACAGATTAGCACACTGATCCTAAACTCATTGGGTTGTATCCAATATTATTCTTTCTTACATTCGACCTAGTGCAATGAATGGGAATTAAATTAGACTGACAATGGATAGAACTCATTCTTGCAAAGTCCATGATATTAGAATCAATGGGTTTTGTTTCAGGCAATGTATTTCAATAGGAAGTGAATTTTAGGAACAAGGACAGCTATGTGAAATAGGATTCTTTCTCCGGAGACTTGTACTAAGAACAGCTTGGGTGGGTATTCCCATTCTAGTTTTGGTTCTGGTTCTGCATAGCTAGCAGCCCCGTATCAAATAATTAGAGCCAGAATGGCAAGATGTATGTTTGAAATGTTAAATAAATATATTATCTCATGGAATGTCATATTTGTTGTCTGTAGACATGGTAAATCTGATGGGGGTGGCATATAAAAATGTAAAAGAATTGGCTAGAAAAAGATTATATAAGTTAATGAAATAAGCTGTGATTTCTATTCTTTTAAGAGCCTATAAATACTTACTCAGAAGTAGGGAGTGTATTAGAAATTCCATTCCTTTTTTACTAAAATTTCCCCATTTTCCAACTCCCAAATCCAAATGCATATTCAAGCACAAGCAGTGATTGAATTTCATGCATTTCCAGCCGTGTGATATGATTTTCAGACCAAAACCAATGGCTTTGATAATCTGTGTACATTTGAAAAATGTGCATGAAAAAATTAATTCTTTTGAAACATGTGCATGAATACCCTTCAATCAGTGAGAAAGATGTGTACATTTTAAGAATGCACACACTCCATATATACAATTAGAAAAAATGTGTACCAAAATAAACACACATTTTCACCCAAACAAAAATAATGAAGCTTGCTCTCTGACAGTCATGAGTCAGAATGAGCTTCGCAACTCTAGAGAATGTGGTTGAATGCAAGTTTGCTGCTCATCCATAGATGCCTACACAGAAATAAACCCCATTCAGTTCAATGAGAATTATTCCGAGGTAGAATTATTCCTTCAGGCTCAGAGAAAGAAAAAAGTTCTGCTATCTCCCTCATCAGTTTTAGGATAAAATGGTATTTCATCCTCCTCTGCCATCCCTGAAAAAGAGAGTAAGTTTATCAATCAAGAACTTACTTGGTCCATTATGGTTCTCTCTGTATGTTATGACCAGGGAAAAGGATGGCCAGGGCAATTCAGCAAGGTTTACAGAGAATCTCTGTAAAGAAAGTAAATTATTAAAACAAATGAGGAAAATACCAATGTCTATTAAACCAGAAACTGGTTAAAATTGAATTTGTTATTTTCCCTTTTAACCCTTCCAGTAATGTTAATGACTATTGTACTGTCTTCATTAGACAATATTTTGGTTCTCATTACAGTTGCTACATGCAATAACAAGGACTTGTATCTATGTGTAATAATGTGGCTTGTTTATTACAGAGATCTCCACTGCAATAAGAATACTGTTTGCACCACCTGTTTACTCAGCCGTTGCCCTTCATGGCTGCTCACCAAAGCCAAGGATGGGGCGTGTGCCTGGGTTTAGGAAGTCGTTAACACCTCTCTGAGGAAGGGTTGAGGCCCTGCCCCCTTCCATATATAGCTGACCACGCACTAAGAACTTGGTTGGAGGTCCTTCTTCAGGAGCCCTCTCTGGAGAAGACTGGGAGAGTGGCTACCCGAAGAAGGGCCTTCTCTGCAATGGTGCCCCGGCTATGGAGCATGCTCCCCAGAGAGGTGTGCCTGGCGCTGGTGCTTTTTTCATTTCTGCACCAGGCCAAAACCTTTTTATTTTCCCAACGTTGTAAGATTTAATTGTAGTTTTCATTGAGTTTTATTGAGGATGCTAATGCTGTGCTTCTTACTGTATCACCATCCTGAGACTTTTGTAATAGGACAGAATAAAAAAGCCTTTAATCAAGCAAGCAAGCAAGCAAGCAAGCAAGCAAGCAAGCAAGCAAGCAAGCAAGCAGTAAAAGAGATCTTCATGCATATGCAGCTGATGTACATTCCCATCTGCATTGCAATGCTGCATCAGGGTTCCCCAAATCTGACATACTCTTCAAGTAAACGGCTTGGGGCCTGGTTACCTGAAGGAGCGCTTACATCCATATATGCCCGCCCGCCCCTTGAGATCTGCGGGAGAGGCCCTTCTCCGGGAACCCTCCGTGAAAGAAATCAGGAGGGTGGGTACTCGGAGGAGGGCTTTCTCTGCGGTGGCGCCTAATCTATGGAATGCACGCCCCAGAGAGGTCTGCCTGGCGCCGTCGTTATTTGTTTTTCGGCACCAGGCGAAGACCTTTTTATTTAAGCGTAATTTTAACTGTTAATATTATTGGATTTTATCTGGCCAGGGCGACTTATTTTATATTGTTTTTTTTTATATTTTAACTTAATGTTTGCATCTTACAAACATTTTAACTTAATGTTATAACTTAATGTTTGTATTTTAACTTAATGTTGTGAGCCGCCCCAAGGCTTCAGCGAATGGGGTGGCATAAAAATGTTTAAATAAATAAGTAAGTAAGTAAGTAAGTAAGTACGTACTGCAAAGGCACAGAGTGGGTCAGGATCTGTCCTTTACTACCCCAGAGTGCAGGAAATGGAATAGTGGGCTCCAATTGCAGGAAGCCAGGTTGTGGCTGGACATCAGGAAAAACTTCCTGTACAAGCAGTATGGCAATAAAACTGATCACCTAGAGTGGTCATGGTCTCTCCCACTTTTAAGAGGCTGCTGACAGCCATCTGTTAGGGATGCTTTAGCCAAGAGCCCTGCACTAAGCAAGGGCTGGGATGTGATGGTTGTCTTGGGCCCTTCCAACTCTACTATTTTATTATTATTGTGTATCCATAAAACACTAAGCTACTGCAGTTCCTTAAGTCTCACAAACTGCGTAGACTTCTGGGGCTTTCATTTAGTTATACAGAACTAAGAAAAACCACTGGAAATTAGTTTACTTCTAGTTAAGTCTGGCTGAAACTTAAAAAGCCCTTACTTCAAACTGAGAACCATTCAAATTAATGGGACAGGGTTAGTAAAACATACAGTTCTACTAACAAGTTTTACATTCTGCTTAAAGTGTTAAATTTTCTGGCACAAAGTACAGTCCAACCAAACCTGGGTACTTTTAAATCCCATCCTCTCGAAGAAATTTAAACATATGCTTAACTAGGGTTAAGTTAGTATTATGTACAAGGGCAGGCCCCTTGTACATAATAGCCGTTGAAGAGACATTGCAGGACATACTGCTTTTTTCTTTTAACCTCTCTTAAGGGTACAAGGTATCCATCTTCCTTTGTGCCAGGTTACATTGCTTTCCACTCTTTTATTGAGATTGCTGAAACTGAAAAGGCTTTGACTGGATTGCACCTATGAAAACTAATCATTGTGTCCATTGATATATCTGAATGGCTATACAAGTGCATTTTTACCTCACATAAACACATCAGACTTTTCCAAATATAAACCATTCAGTAATTCTTATCCTACTAGTTTCTATGCTTTTATCTGGGCAGGAAGTTAAAATGACTAATCTATTTTTAATTTATTATTTTTAAATGGCTTTATTTATTACATTGTTATTCTGCTTTTCCTCCAGCATGCTGACTGTATGTCCATGCTCCCACATACTTTGAACCTCACAATAGTCCTCACAAGTAGGTTACACTGAGAGAGAGCAAGAAACTGGCCCATGGCTACCCAGTGATGTTCTTGTCTGAGTAGAACTTTAAATCTGTGTTTCTTCGCACTTAGTTTAACCAGTATACTGCAGTAGTTCTCCATTTACTGTGGACTTGCTCCAAATAATCAGGTACAGAGTGAAGACAGTTGCAAAGGCTTAATTTCATCGCTTTACTATTTTCTCTGCAGATTCTGTTGGCCATTTTGTCACTGGATGGTTCCTTTTGACTTTCAGGCTAGCTTCCCGATCAGATGCATTTACAGTGTAATCCTACGAGTATTGACTTTTTAGTCAGCAATGAGTCTCTTTGTACTCAAAGGACTTCCTTCCTAGAAAATATTTTTATTTATTTCATTTTTATACCGCACTGCAGCTGAAGTTCTATGGGTGGTTTACACAACCTTAGGGTACCCTAGGGTTTCTAGGGTGCACTCCTACACATGTTTAGGCAGAAAAAAAAGTCATGCAACTCCAAGCATCCCCCCAGCCACCTATATAAACATGCATAGGATTTAATGCAGTGCCCTTAGAATTACAGTTGTCTGTAGAACGAGCAGGTGTTAGTGGCAAAAGTATTAAATAGGATATTTTTGTCATCTGAATGTATATATCCATGCAGCAGAGTGGTCTTGACTTTAAGAGATACAGTATGAAAATAATAATGTAATATATTCAGTAATGAGAACTTAACTAAAGAACATCTTTGTCAATCATAGCAATAAATTAGGCAAACTTACCTGCTCAGTAGGTATGATGCCTTTTATTCTAGCTATTAGATTTCAGATGCAGAGATGTTCTCAAGTTTCTATGCATTCTTAAACTACAGACAAGCTATCTTCTCGAGCATCTCACCTTAAAAAAACAACCTGTAATTCATGCAAATAAAGCCCACGCCCTCAGTTTATGTTTGATCCTAATTTGAAAATGAACATTTGCTTTCCTTGTGTGGTTGCTGTGGCTTTTTCAGATTTCACCACGTGTCATCTCTTGACTACCACAAACCAAGAAGATTAACAGAAAAGCAAAGGGGAAGCAGCAAGACGTAAGTCACGTGACCCTCCAAATGGGTTCTCAGGTACACCCACCTTTTCCTGTCCCCTTTCAGTAAGCATCACTGTCATGATTCATTTTAATATTCTGTATAATTACAAATTTATTTGTACATACATGACAAATATGCAAATTTCCCTGAACAAAAAGCACACCGATTGACACATGAAGCCTTTTATGCATATCACATGTCACTTAGGGTGTATACAGAATGTGGAATTGCGTGCCTCTTTTGTTGGCACAAGATAGAATCTCAATGGCCATAGGATTTTTCAGAGCCCCAACTTCAACCTTGCAAACTTGCTCCCAGGTTGAAACCGGGACTTCAGACTCAGAGGGTCTTGCTGTACCCTTGTAACCAGCACAGAAGAACCCACACCAGTGGCTGCTCCTGGGCCACAAGAGCAACCCCAGAGATGGGCTTTTGAGGGTAGGGATGAGAGCGGATAGGTTCCACTGGCATACAAAATACAGCAACACCTACCTCACACTCCGCCTACTTAGAGGCTGAATGCTCAGCCAGCCAAAATTGGACATTTAAGTGTTTTGCATGAAGGGAGGAGCTCAGAGATTACTTCTACCTCTCCATGCCTCCTGCCCTGCACAGGATGCCCATAATCTCCAAATTAAGGGCTGGGGCAGCCTCACTGGATTGCACCCTTAGTGTGACTTTTTTTGTTTCCCGCTGCAGAATCAGTTTGGATTCTCTTGAATGTTGCTCTTCAATTGAGGCAAATCCTCTGCTTCTCTCCTTCAGATAGACTCCCTGCCCTTTAAATAAAATTTAGGGTATTTATATGATCAACAGTTCTCTTAATACTTGTAGTGTTTAGTTTTATTTTTAACTTGAAAGATCAAAAGACGGGATGTGTGTTGCTCTTTGCAGAGGGATTCTCTGCTTTGTTTTAAAGCATCTAGTACACAGAGCATGATCCTGGCTGCTTCTCCAAACAAATTCCACGGAGCTTAGGAGGACATAGAAACATAGAAAACAGAGCGAGTCAGAAGGGGTCTCCCGGGCCATCTAGTCTGACCTCTGGCACCAGCCGGCTCTGCTCACAACATGCCCACCATGTGGACGTCCAACCTATCCTTGAACACCCGCACCGATGGGGCCTCAACCACCTCCCGGGGAAGCCCATTCCACACCCTCGGGGTCCTGACTGTCAGGAAGTGCTTCCTGGCATCCAAATGGGACCTTGGTTCCCTGAGCTTTGCTCCGTTGGAGCGCGTCCTGCCCTCCTCTGCAGGGGAGAACAGGTCTCTGCCCATCTCCATGTGACATCCCCTCACATACCTGTATGTCGCCAACATATCCCCTCTGAGTCTCCTCCGTATTCCCAAGGATGTATTCCCAAAGGGCACATGGCACTAGCAGACAGACATTAGGTTGTGGTGATGTTGCTGTAGAACATGGGTGAGCAATGTGAGAGGCGTCCATGTTGTTATGCAAGGGGACATTTGGGCAGCTGCCCAGAGATTCTGTTTTGAGTGCCCCAGTGATATCACCTATCTTAGCACTAGTCTGCTGCTTCCCTCAGGATTCAGCAACTGTACAGTGACTACAGGACATTAGGGGAAACTTCCTTGCCAGGCCAGTAAGGAGTGCAAAGGCAGAAGCCTTTTGAGCTATAGAGACGCAGTGTCACCCTTTCTGCCACATTTTGCTTGCTCTTCTTTTGTGCCCACTGCTGAGAGCTTGCTTGGAATGGAAGGGAGAGAGGAGGCAGGAAGAGTTCCTTGAAGAAAACTGGTTTTGATTCTGGCATCTGATTTACAGCTCGAAACTGGAGGTTTTGGGTTCTGTGGGAGCTCTACAAAGGATTTAATTAGTCTCCAGGAACTTTTTCTCCCTTCTCCCTTTAACTTTTTTCTCAAAGGGAGTGTTAAAGGATGGCCCACATAGGCTGGAAGCCCAAATCTCAGGAAGGTCACCTATCCACCAACCTGCCTTCCAGGATTACTGGATAAAATAAAGGTACAGAGGCCCTATTTATCTCTGTTGCAGCGGATCCTCTTGGATTACCTGGCTTTTTGCCTAAATGTGCTGCTCCTGCTGCCTCCATCCTTGCAACTTTCAGCCTGAGTTTTTTCCCTTCCAAAATCAAATTGTTTGATTCATTCATTCATTTGATTTCTTTGATTTCTACCCCTCTCCCATGCTCATTCATCCCTTTTTACCAATATGGGCCTTTAAATGCACATGCATGTGTGTGCGTGCATGCGCGCACAGAGAGAGAAAGAGAGAGAGATTTTAGAGCATAAGGACATTAGCATATACACATTTGTACAGTTTCTTTGTCATGTGGGCCTGATCTTTTTACTACCTAGTAGGACCCCTGGTTCTTTCACAGAGGAGCAGGTAGCAGATTATAGGAAAAGTTGAGTGAGGACTACAGGCAGTCCCCAAGTTATGAACAGCCAAGTTACAAACAACCCATACTTATGAACAAACTACCATAAAGCTGATTATTTTTGTTAAAAAAATTGGAGAAAATCATTATCACCATGGAGAGAGGAACCAAAGGGTAGAGAAGGAGGCCTCCAAAGCATGCCTTCCAGCCCTGTGCATTCAGAGAGGGAAATCTCTTTAGCATTTCTTTGGAGCAAAGGGAAGGAACTGGTGAGTTTGGAGGGTGGAGCAGATACATTTGTAGTTTTTCCACTTTCATGGGGGTCTTGCACCCCTAACCCCACAGATGTGGAGGGCTTATAAATGATCTGACTTACATACAAATTTGACTTAAAGGTGAATTTTCTGTTTTCTCAGGAATGGAAGTCATTCATATCCTGGGGATTGCCTGTACATGACACAATGTCCAAGGAAGGCAGGACTGAGGGAACTGGGTCTTTTCAGCCTGGAGAAGAGGAGATTCTGAGGAGATCTATTGGCGACATACAGGTATGTGAGGGGGTGTCACATGGAGGTGGGTAGAGACCTGCTCTCCCCTGCAGAGGAAGGCAGGATGTGCTCCAATGGAGCCAAGCTCAAGGAACCAAGGATCAATTTGGATGCCAGGAAGCACTTCCTGACAGTTAGGACCCCAGGAGTATGGAATGGACTTCCACAGGAGGTGGTTGAAGCCCCGTTGGTGAGGGTGTTCAAGGATAGGCTAGACATGCACATGGTAGGCATGTCATGAGTGGAGCTGGCTGGAGCCAGGGGTCAGACTAGATGGCCCAGGAGACCCATTCTGACTCGCTCTATTTTTATGTTTCTGAGGAAGTGCTGGAAAGGCAGCTTGCAGAATGCTTCAAGGCACTACCATAAGAAAATAAGAATTTGTCTTCTACTTATTCCATTCATCTAACCCTGCACCATTGGCACTGAGTGTTAACATCTTCCAAGATTTTGGGCAGGATCAAACCTGTGGCCTTCTGCATACCAACCATATACTCTACCACTGAGTTAAATGTTTTACTTTTTAAAAAGAAAAAAAATCTTTATCCCCTGCTTAATTCATGAAATCAGTTAAAGAATGTACAACCATCTCTCATACATGCATGCCATTCCTCTGAAATGCTGCCCTTCTATAAAAGGCTATTTGGGTTGGGGAATTTACTGTATCTTTTCTCTATTTCCACTTATCATTCTTCTTAACTTCTCCCTTATCCTATACTGGGGTTTCTTTTCTCTTCTTTATTCCATCCAGAGCCAGTTACCTTGCCCCTGCTGGTGATTCCTCCCCTAAGGAAGAACTGCAACTTCCAGAGACAGGCACCATTACACCATCCATGTCAGAAGACCAGGAGGAGCCTTGGCCCAGAGGGCAGTTATGGTCACAGGTCCATCTTTGTCAGGGGCAGTGGGATCTGCCTTTGAGGCAGAAGCTGAGCCACCCTTAGTCTCCCAGGAGCATCTGTTGCCTCAGGCATCAGGCAAGTAGGACTCTTGTGAGAATGAGTACTTGATTATAAGGATTCTGCAAGAGAAAGAGCCTGTCCCTGCGTAGGACTTTGCCCGAGAGCTCTAACATACTGCAGCTGAGCCATGTGTGGGGCTCAGCAGGTTCTAGCGATAGAAGCCTTCAGCATCTCTGTAGCCAGTGCTGAAAACAGTGCCGCTTTTCCATTCCAGTGCTTTCTGCTCTGCTTCCTGGACCTTGCCATTATGTTTGATGATCCCTGCTGCTGAGCCTTGGATTTCTGCATGACTTTGTTTCTGGAGTGGGTAAATTATCTGGCTGCTTCACTGTGCTTTGACCTTTGTTATGGTTGAACCGCTTCTGCCTTCCTGCTTCCTTACTTTACTAAAACCTTGCTGCCCAAGTGCGTGCCTGTTTGTGACCTTGCTTTTCAGATTGCCCCATAACTCAGAGTTTGTTTCAGTTAGAACAAATCTTGGAATTCTGTTAAGGGGAGGGTAATGAGTAAGAGACATTCTGAATTGTATATGGCTTTATACCAACACAGAAGAGGATTTTTTTTCCTTCTCATTGGTCCAGCACTTTGGGAACAGTGGGTTCATGAGGTTGCAGAGGAAGGAATTTGAGCTACTTTGCTTCCATCATCCAGCAACAGAATCAAGGCTTTAGTAAAAAACAAGAATAATGTTGCATACTATGCTCTTTTGCACTCCTATATATCTATTAAAAGTCTTATTATGTGTAATGGTGCTTAGTCCTCAGAAAGGGCACTTAGGCCTATAGCCCAAATTATTTTTTTGCAGACTGATCTTCTGCAGGTTTACAAATAAGTAAGTCTTGAGTTATGGCCCCACAAACTTCCGGAGGTTGCTCAC